GATTTGCGCTTTTCTAAGTCATTTTACTTGGTTTTAAACAGTTTCGTGGATACTTATTTGCTAAGGTTTTTTATTTTATTTTATTGCAGCACCGGGAACAAGACTATGAGATCATCTTCTAGCTTGGACTCTGTATATTTGGTATGCTAAGTTTAAGGTTTACTTTGATTACTATTCTTATAAAACGTACTATAACTTGGTTAATGTGTTTAAAGTTTGTTTGCTTATTTGTTTGATTTGTGATTAGAGGAAGAGTGTTCGAGTTTCAGAATAACATGATGTTAAGAGTGACCATTTGGTTCATTTTGTTGGGAGAAAGATGCTTCTTTTGCTAAGTTTTTAGTTATTGCAGCACCGGAGCAAGACTTTCAGATCATCATCTAGCTTAAACTATGTAAACTTTGTAAGTTAAGTTTAAGATGTAATTTCTTTCAAAAGAATGTGTAAGATTTGCTTTTCTAATTATTCTTACAAATACCTACTGCAACTTGGTTAATACTATCATATGTTCTAAAGTTTGTTTTTTAAGGAAAAGTGTTCAAGTTTCATAGTAAGTGATGTTAAGAGTGGTCATTATCAGAAACTATACATGAAGTCTGCGTAGGTTATTTGATTCAAATAATTGTTTGAAAAGCATATGGTACTTGGAATGTGTAAGAATATTTGATAAATGATAAATGCACTTTAGTGGCAATATGTATTGATCTAAAAAGAAAGACTTAGGGTACCTGTTCAAGTGTGTTCTTTGTTTATAAAGATATGTGTTTGTAGAAAAAATAAAATAAAAAAGGATGTGTTTGTAGAATTGTAGGTCAGGTTGTGTGTAGCGGTTCAAGGTTCTATCCTTTCATTGATTCATGCTTTTGTTTATATTGTTTGTGTGTACAGAACTAGATGATTTGGTTGGAGAAGTTTGCGGTACAGCTGGATTGCTAGAAGTTTGAAGCAAACCATTAATTTTTCTACTCCGGCACTTACAACACCAACTAACAATTGCTTGATTGTATTATTATGGTTTTGTATTTTGGTCAAACATGTACTTGTTATATAGTTTGGTGAAATTACAAGTAAATTGTAAGGATATGTACAACTACTTGTGGATAATTTTTTTGTGAATGAAAATTGTGGGATTTTCATATTTTGTATCTTTATCGTTTTAGGTGTGTGTGTTGAATGACTTGTATATGTTAATGATGTTAGGATGCCAAGTTTGTGAATGATATATTTGTGTTTTATAAAACATAATGATACCATGGTGTTACAAATTTTATTGATGTCTTGGCATCATTTATTTATATGATACTAATGTATCATGACTTTTTGTTTCGTTACACTATCACAAGTAATTGTGATATATGTGCGTCAAAATATCTAATGATACTTAAGCGTCATAATTTACTGACGTTTCACGTGTGACACTAATTTTAGTGTCACCATTTCCCACCTTCTGCGACGAATGATATGTGTCACAGAAACTTTCTGTGACACAAAAATAGTGTCACTATAAGGCCTTTTTCTACTAGTGTTAAAATCTAGAGCATTGTATCGATAGATTCTAATATTATAGGTCTCATATTGATAGAGTTTATCTTTCGGGTCCCTAATTGATAAAGACATGAACTTTGAGGTCCTGGGGTCCTGGACTGATAAAATTCCAAAGAAAAATTAAATTGAAAGGGAAACAAGATGTTAAGGTTGGTAAACGTGTCTCAGCAATTTTCCAGAGGAAACTCCCGGAAAAATGCAACGACTCAGGCATGTTCACTATCCCATGCAAAATAGGGAACACTTTATTTCCTAGGGCCTTGTTGGATTTAGGGACTTCAATCAATGTTATTCCATATTCATTATACAAGTCCCTAAAACTTAGCCCTATGCATGAAACCGGGGTAGTAATCCAGTTGGTGGATAGGTCTAGCACATACCCTAAGGGTGTCGTAGAGGACGTGTTAGTAAAAGTTGAAAATTTGGTCTTCCCTGTTGATTTCTATATTTTTGAAATGGAAGCTGATAACCAAGCTACACTCATCCTTTTGGGAAGATCTTTCTTAAAAATAGCCTAAACAAAAATAGACATGTCTAATGGTTCATTAACTTTAGAGTTCGATGACCAAAAAGTAGAATTTAACATCTTTGATTCTACGAGAAAACAAATTAAAGAACAATCTCTTTGTTCTCTAAATGTTTTTGAACCACAAGCACCAAATGTTTTTATTGAAAAAGAGGCTAAGAAAACATCAATTTTTGAAAGAAGAATTGAACAAAAAAATCTATTTTGAAAGAAGAGTCGCCTCAATGCGAGTTGGAAACACTTATGGTTGAGGTGGTAACAAAGAAGAAACCTCGGCCTTACTGGAAAAGGCCAAAGAAGAAGAATGAAACAAGGGATGTTTACGATTCCACATAAAACAAAAAAGAAAATGAGAATATCGTCGAGCCACGACGTTAAAGAAAGCGCTTCTTGGGAGGCAACCCATGCAAGGTTCGTTTTCTTATTCAGTTGTGTGAGTGTGAGTGTGTTAAAACGTTAAAAAAAAGACATGACATTTGACCCGGTCGGGTAAACCAAATAACCCGGTCGGATAGGTTTCTAAAACTGATCGGGCGAATAAACTTTTGCAAAACCCGGGCCCTGGAGCACAACACCCGACCGGGTCACCTACATAACCCGGCCGGGCGTTTTCTTTTAAACCCCACTGGATAGCAGAAATTTAGGCCCGACCGGGTCATATTACCCCACTCGGCCGGGTTGTCTGGAAATTTTTACTCAAAACCGAGCTTGATTCATCCTCTTCCTCACTTTTTCCTCTGCAAAACACGACCCCACCCCCCATTTCCACCATTTTCAAGCTCTCCGAACTTTGAATTCACCCTCTTTCTCCACCAAAAGTCCAAATCAACCTCATATCCTTCTTCTCCACATCATCCTCTCCATCTTTTTCAATTCAACAAAACCCACCAAATAACCCAAAATCCAAATTCCCTAACCCCACAAAAAAAACAATTCCGAAACTTCCTCAACATACAAAGAAATGACATCACAAACGGGTTCCTCTGCTAGGATATCCCGAAGATAAGCACTAGGGACAGTGCTTTGGCTAGCTTGGGGGGTAGGGGTGGAAACAGGTCAGGTCAGGCCAGGCTTTCGCCTAAACAGGCCGGGCATGTTTTAGAATATATAGGCCTGAGCCTGGCCTGTTACCCGTTAAAGGCCTAATTTTTCGGCCTGAGCCTGGCCTGTTTAAAAGCCTGGCCTAGCCTGAAGCCTGTTTTCAGGGCCTGTTAAGAAAAAAAAACATTAAAAAAAAACAAAAAACAAAAGTGAAGAATCCTTTTAACCCGGTATAAAATTTATTCCCCCAAATATTCACTAAAAAGTCTAATAATACGTTTGATGGATCGTCGGACCAGGGGTGGCCGGAATCCACCGAAAATGAGAGTAGAAGGGAGAGCGAACTGATCGGAAAGTCCAGATAAAATCTCAGTGTATAAGCCTCAAGTATGCGATAGATTAAGCATCCCTTTCCACAAGTTGGAAGGTGATATTTATACTAAGGAAAAAGGAAATACTTGGAGGCCAAGCCAAAGATGTTGGTCTAATGGGAGAAGGACACGTGTAAAGCTATTCTAACAAACTAACAACCCAATTCAATGAGGGGCGGCCACGTGTAAAGCTGATTGGAGAGAGAACCCTTGATAGTTGGCTGATTGATTATTCTTCTAACAGAATTCCCGTGTGGCTGCACGTGGATAACCTGGAATATTCCTTTGGCGAAGAGAGTGACGTGGCGGTGCCTTCTTGCGAGACGAATCCTTGCGGATTCTATCTAAGTACATGGCGCTTCATCCTGACCTTGGGGACCACTAAGGTCAATATCTGAGAGCTCGGGCTCGTGTTGAGAGGATCCGCCCTTTTGCCCTTTGTTCCTGTCCTGGCGATAGTTGACTGCTTGGTGCTTGACTTGGTGCCGACCTCGGGTGCATCGAGGTCGGGCCCATAATTTGTCGAGTTAAGTTGATTCCTGAGCCCGATGTTCTCCCGACCTCGGGGTCGGGGTCGGGGTAGGCTGACTTCATTATTCACCGAGTTCGGCTGATTTCTGAGCCTGGTGTTTCCCCGACCTCGACGGTCGGGGTCAGTCGCGGACTGTGGACTTGGTACTTCTGCGCCTCTGATGGAGCCGCAGTGCTTTCTCCCGTCGATTATGATACCCCTGGGGTATGTGGGAATATACTCCATCAACGTTAGTTTTGCTTTGGATGTCTAATAATATAATACATTATTATGTAGTGAAAATAAATTTCTATGTAATTCAAATATATCAAAAAACTTGAATTTCAATTATCTTAATAAACTATTAACACACTTTATATATATTTAAAATATTATAATACACACTCCATAAAAATAATACTATGCCGAATTTGCTATAGTTAAGTATACCAATATAAATATAAATGTAAATAATATAAATAAATATAACTAAGTATATACACATGCATATATACACACATATAAATAGGCCGGTCTGTTAAGCTAAAAAAGCTTCAGAGTTGGGCTGGGCCTGGCCTATTTAGATAAACGGGCTTTTTGAAAAGCACAAACCTAGTTTGATTACTAAACAGGCCATACCAGCCCAGGCTTTTAACTGGCCAAGCCACAGGGCACTGACAGGCTGCCTGGCCTAATTCCACCCCTATTGGGGGGTGGGGGGTGGGGGGGGAGTTTCATGGAATACTCACATTCATGCTCTTTATTCTAAAAAAATAAAAATAAAAGCTTGTTAAGTTGAAAACCTGAAAGGGAAACTTAATAAAAAATAAAGCAAAAATAAGAATGAGTTGTGAGGATTAAAACAGAAAAATGTGGGAAGCTGGGATGAAAATCCGAAAAGGCACCTAGGCAAAATGAGAGAATGAGAGAAAGTATCTCTTTTATTTCTGCAGAATCCTTAGGATAAAAAAAATTGAAGGATGAAAAACAAAAATATGGAGTTGAAGACCCCTCTTTACTCTCATCCAAGCCTGTGAACCATCTCTCCAGCCACAAATTGGAAATCCACAACCCCATTAATTAAAAAACCCGGAGAAATCCAAAAGCCACGAACCCCACGAGCAACTATTTAGAAGAGCAATCCAAAAGGGATAGGTACAAGAGCAATCCACGAGCAACCTCCATTTGAGCTCGAAACATCTACAGACCTTGAAATCTCCGAACTGCATTTCTCATAGTACTTGTCAATCATTATTTGTCCGTTTCTACATTTAGAGATGCAAAGTGCTTTCTCACCCCTACAATTGTATAACAATGCTTCATTTTTTTTTCATTATATATATGCGTGTATGTATGTAATATATGCACAAGTTGTTTATTGGGGTGAAGAGAAACGGTGAAAGGGATGACGGGAGACGGGATACAGGATGGTAGGGGAGAGAAAATAGGGAAGAAGGGGGGATATTTTGGGTTGAAGTGAAAAAAATAAGTCATTAGGATTATCCTTAGGTTGGAGTTATTTGCAAAAATATCTAGAAGCATTTTGAAACTAGTATATTCCAGCTTCTAACTTTTAACTTAAATTACTACCTCCGTCCCAAATTGATTTGCAAATTTGACTTTTCTTGGTCAACAGTTGCGTTTTGTTCACTTAATTAGGATGCCAATTTTTAATTATATTCTAATTTGGAGTTTACAACTTTGAAGAGATTTTGATGTAGTTTATGAATATAAAAATTTTATTTATTGAAAATTAAATTAATTATTATGCATAAGAAGAGTTAACTTTTATTATTAGTTGACAAAAAAATGTTGACTTTGCAAAACAAATTGGGACGGAGGAGTACTTATTTTTAATTAGAAGTTTGTATTTAACAAACAGCTTTTTTATTTTATTTTTTATAAAAAAAATTAACCAACAAAACATACGAAAACCCTTTCCTCCAGCGGCCGCAAGTCTGAACAGCAAATGGACTTGAACTTCGCGTAGCTGACGATATTCATCATTTCATCGCCGTTATCATCCAAATCGACGCCGGGAAGTTGCGAAAGAGGGAAACCCGGGATCAGGGTACAATTAACAACATGTATATTTACTCAGACTAAAGATAAAGATACGGAGCTGGTTTTCGAGCAAATCTTCGGAGCTTTTCCAAACCCTAGCACAGCCGGAGCACCGGCGTCTGGTCTCCTCTTTCCTTCAATAAGAGCGATATTCCTCCTCCGGGAGGAGCAATCAGTGAGAGAAGATGAGGATTATGATAAAGGGTGGAGTATGGAAGAACACGGAGGACGAGATCCTCAAGGCTGCGGTCATGAAGTACGGCAAGAACCAGTGGGCCCGTATCTCCTCTCTTCTTGTTCGTAAGTCCGCCAAGCAGTGCAAAGCTCGTTGGTATGAGTGGCTCGATCCTTCCATAAAAAAGGCAAGCTTTTTTATTTTTATTCTTATAAATGTGTAAAACTCATATGAGGATTAGGTATTCATTGGAATGTGTCGACCATACCACAAATTTGTAGCAGTATGCCAGTATATATAAATAAATATGATGGGAATAATGACAACAGTTAGCCAAGTATGTTAGCGTGGTTTGTCAAATGCTACATTTCCTTTCCCAATGCACTTCTTGGCACATTCTATTGTGACTATCCCACTATGTATTGCATCTCCAGGCATTGTATTTAATCGAGCTATTTGCATCCCAACACCTAGTGTTCTTCACATAAATAATGTTTACTTGTAACTCTTTCTGTTGAACTACCTAGATTCTGGAATTGACCTATCACTGTTAATGACATTGGCAGACCGAGTGGACTAGAGAAGAAGATGAGAAGCTGCTTCACCTCGCAAAGCTTATGCCCACACAGTGGAGAACCATTGCTCCTATTGTGGGGCGTACGCCATCACAGTGCTTGGAACGCTATGAGAAGCTCCTTGATGCAGCGTGTGCCAAGGATGAGAACTATGATGCCAATGATGATCCAAGGAAACTGCGGCCTGGAGAGATTGATCCAAATCCAGAATCGAAGCCTGCTCGTCCTGATCCTGTTGATATGGATGAAGATGAGAAAGAGATGCTTTCTGAAGCACGTGCACGGCTTGCCAACACAAGAGGCAAGAAAGCCAAAAGGAAAGCCAGGGAGAAACAACTTGAAGAGGCTAGGAGGTTAGCGTCTTTACAAAAGAGGAGAGAGTTGAAGGCAGCTGGAATTGATGCTCGACATAGAAAGAGAAAGAGGAGGGGCATTGACTATAATGCTGAGATTCCCTTTGAGAAGAAACCTCCTCCAGGTTTTTATGACGTTGCTGATGAAAACCGTCCAGTGGAACAACCTAAGTTCCCAACAACTATTGAAGAACTTGAAGGTGAAAGACGAATAGATAAGGAGGCGCGTCTGAGAAAGCAGGACATTGCTAGGAATAAGATTGCTCAAAGGCAGGATACCCCATCAGCCATACTACATGCCAACAAGCTTAATGATCCAGAAACAGTGAGGAAGAGGACTAAACTGAATCTTCCTGCTCCACAAATTTCAGACCATGAATTGGAGGCGATTGCTAAAATTGGCATTGCGAGTGACCTCATTGGGAGCGAGGAACTCACAGAAGGGAATGCTGCCACACGTGCCCTCGTTGCAAGTTATGCCCAAACTCCAAGGCAGGGAATGACTCCACTAAGAACACCACAAAGAACACCTGCAAACAAGCAGGATGCTATAATGATGGAAGCCGAAAACCAAAGAAGATTGAGTCACTCCCAAACACCACTACTGGGAGGAGAGAACCCAATGTTGCATCCATCTGATTTTTCTGGTGTGACTCCTAAAAAAAGGGAGATTCATACTCCAAATCCCCTCTTGACTCCATCAGCAACTCCAGGGGGGGCTGGTCTTACTCCTAGAACTGGCATGACCCCTTCAAGGGATGGATATTCTTTTGGCATGACCCCAAAAGGGACTCCAATGAGGGATGAACTCCACATTAATGAAGAAATGGATATGCACGATGGGACAAAAGTTGGGCGTTCAGATTCTAAACAAGAACTGCTTGCCGGTTTAAAAAGCCTACCACTTCCCAAGAATGAATACCAGATTGTCATTCAACCTCTTCCTGAAGAGAGTGAGGAACCGGAAGAGAAGATTGAAGAGGATATGTCTGACAGGGTTGCAAGACAGAAGGCAGAAGAAGATGCAAGACAACAAGCATTACTAAAGAAAAGGTCAAAAGTATTGCAGAGGGGTCTCCCGAGACCACCTCCTGCTTCGTTGGAGCTAATTCGGAATTCTTTAATAAGATCTGATGAAGATAAGAGCTCCTTTGCTCCTCCTACAGCAATTGAGCTGGCTGATGAGATGATAAGAAAAGAGCTTCTATCTTTGTTAGAGCATGATAATGTGAAGTACCCAGTTGATGAGAAATCTGATAAGGAGAAGAAAAAAGGATCCAAAAGAAAATCAGTTAATGTGCCCATTATTGATGATTTTGATGAAGATGAGCTCAAAGAGGTATGTTTTTTGTTATATGATATGTAGTATTTTTTTAGTCTTTTTCAATCTTTGGTAATATTTTGTTTATTTATGAATTACGTTGTGGAAGCTAACAAAATATTTATGCAAGAAAAAATTAGTTCTGGGCGTTCCATCATCATTGTGAAGTGTGTTTTGTGTATCTTCTATTAATACACGTGTACTGATATGACATATTTGGATAATGTTAACATTTCACACATGCATAGCATTTTTTTCGTTTTGAAACTAGAAGTGGAATATTCAGCTGTGGAAGATTTGTTTCTTGCTTATTGAACTTTTGTACTCCCTCCGTCCCTTAAAATTTGGCGAAGTTTGACCGGCACGGGGATTAATAAAGTAAAAAACTAAAATCTGTGTGGTTGAGGTAACGTGCAGAGGATTAACGGGAACCACATATTTTTACTTAAAAGAGAAAGTGGCAAAGTTAGTGGGACAATCCAAAAAGGAAAGTTGGCAAAGTTTTAAGGGACGGAGGGAGTATAATCTAAGAGTTTCAATCAAGTGTTATTCTTTACCTATATTTAAAGGGTAGTTAAACTAAGAAGTTCAAAGGTTAGTTGTGTTTAAAGGTTGGTTGGTCTAAGGAGTTTTAAAGATTGGGTCACTAGATGAAACTCACGCTTCTATGTTGGAGTATTGAGTTACTGTATTATTCTAATAGCATTCCATGTTTAGTACTACCTCTGCATGTTTAGTACTACCTCTGTCCTGAAAAGGTTTGCTATATTGACTTTTCTTGGTCAATGATATCAATATATCATACTTTGAACAATTATTTTATTTATTATATTTGTGTATAATATATAAATTTTATACTTTTATGAAAATATTTTGAATAAGAAGCATCTTGATATAACTTTCTTATTCAAAATTATTTCGTATTAAAAAATATCATTAGTCAAAGTTGATTGGCATTGATCAAGAAAAGTCAATTTGACGAACCTTTTTTAAACGGAGGGAGTATCATTTTATGGATCAAGGTACTCCATGTAGTCACCAGCAGGCTTTAAGTAGTCTGGCGTGCACACAGATGCAACCTTAATTTGATATTCCTTAATATGACAACTAACACATGTTTAGTAATTTAGTATGGTTACTTATTACCTTGGATAGATCATAGATCAATATAAAATTTCATCACCGGATAAGTTACGCACTTCGGCATTGTATTTCTATTGAACTCCATTGGTAGTTGTTTTTAAAAAACAGTGGTCCTAGTCCCTAAGGCAGACATTTGTTTTCAAATTAGTTTCTCAGATACACATGCAAGCACATTCCTCCTCTTGTTATTTTCCATGGTGGCCATTTCATTTCCCTTAGTGATGGATTCTATGATAAAGAGATTAAAGACCATATTATTAGTTAACTGATTTAACTCAAAGTCAAACTATAAGAGGCGGTGGTGATGCCACCATCCTAGGCGGTAATGCGGTGTACCTGCCTCATTTAAAGTCAGAAGCAATTCCAAACCAATCTCAATTCCTATATCATATTTCCAATGGAAATAGTATTTTCCAAAGGATGTAATTAGCAATGTTAGTGTTATGCCTCTAATTGAAGGGATCTGTGTATCATGATGAAATGAAAATGGTACCGCTCATGATTAAGCCGTTAAGGTTATCGCGGGGCTATGGGAGGTGTGACATCACTGGACCACCTTTTTATGTAGGTGACTAGGTGACAAGTAGCTGTAAGCCATACTTGCATGACTATATCATAAATATTACTCCCTCCGTCCCACTAAGATTGTCTCATCCATATTTGATAAAGTTTGTGTGGTTCTAAATCATTCTTACTTTACTCTTACTTTACCAATTCAATAGAAACCACATAAACCCATGTTTCTTAATAACGGCACCACCTCCTCATGTCCCAATCTTATTGGGATAGAGGTAGTGATATAAAGTACATGAATTAGCGATATTTAATACCAAACTTTAGAGAAAAGCACTGATGGAACTCAAGTGGTGTAATTCGTGTGATTCTTATCTAAAGAAAGCATAAGAAGGTTGATAAAGTAAAAAGTTAGCTGCAGATATAAATAAACGAAATAAAGGCAATATTGTTTGGCAGCAATTGATCTTTACTCTTTTCCTCTTCACTCAATTTTTTTTTTCATGTCTGATGCAACCTTTTAAATTAGGGGAATATAGTTGGGTTATCAGGTCAAGTTTGATTTGACAAAAAAAACTATTCTGGATGACACCATAAATGCCTAGTCAACGTCATTTAGTGCATGGCATTCTTGAGCCGAAGCAACCAACCATGGCGAGCATTTTCCATTGCCAGGAGCCCAGGACGCGTAAGTGTCGCCTAGATGACATCATGACAACCATGCCCATGGTGAACGATTAGAGGTGTAGTCGTGCTCACCCGTGGGAGTTAGGGACAAATCTAACAATTCTTTCCTTGGATTAAAATGACAATTATGTCTACACAGTAATATGGATTACTAGAAGTATTCATTTCCTTCCTGCAAGTCTTTTTTGTTGGGGTAATTACCATAAGATGTACCGAGTATCCCTTTTAGCCATGTAATTTAAAAAACTCGTTCAACTAGGAAATTAGACGTACGGGGGTTGTTTTGCTAATCAGGAAGAAAGGTGCTTTTGTTTTGTTGTGTGCACCCCATATTTCATGCATAGCACATCTATTAAACAAGTATGTTACATTGCAGAAAATTAGCTAGCATAGACTAGACACTACCAGGAGCTAAAACTTGGCTGGCCTATCCAATGCAGATTTCGGGAGTGTTTGTGATTGCTTGTGCTTTTTAAATGTGATTTATTTAAGAGATTATTGGAAAAGTGATTTATAGTAAAAGTGGATAGTGTTTGTATATAGAAGTGATTTTAATTAAAAGGTAAAAGTTGAAAGGGTTGATAAAAAAGTGATTATTGATGTAATACATAGTTAAAATACAAAAATGCCCATGTCCAAATTTAATAGATAGTTCAAATAAAAAATTTAATGGAAGAAGGAAGGCTGTGTCCCTTCTCTTTCTCTCTCGCTAGTGAACTCACTGGCCACCCAAACACACAAGTCGCCAGATTATTCCGCCATCCTTCACGCCACCAGTTTTCCTACTCCCATGCCGATTTCGTCCCAATATACCAGCAACCAACATCAGAACTGGGACTCCTGCGGACTCGATGAAACCCAGCTGCGCGCAACCCGAAGCCAACCCCTGCCCACTCCTCTTTCTCTTCCCAGATTTGCTGCAAGTACAGTGAAGGAAGCCACCTTGGCTGCAAATATATATTCTGTATATATGTTGCGGTGCAGAGAAGAAAGAAGGGAGAAACAGATGCCTATTGCGGTGTCGAGAAGATAGAAGGAGCACTTTTGGTATAATTGAAATTTTTGATCTAATAATTATCCCCAAAGTTCCAACTATTTACTAAAATACCTAGAAGCAGAAAAAAGCATCCCAATGGCTACTTCCAGCTTTTGACTTAAAAGTGCTTAAATTAAGTAAAAGATTTCATTTGCAAACACCTTCTTAGCTTTTAAAAGCCAAAATCAGATAAGTGCTTTTTTTAAGCAATGGCAAACACTGCTTTAATGTGACTGAGCTTCTCATATGACTAAATAAGTATTCTTAGAATGTAAGGTCATTGCTAAAAGCTTCCCAAGAACGCTAAGCTGGTTGGTGTAACCGTGTAACCTATATAAAACTATCATCGCTAGTGTTATGTCACCACTTCTTGCAGTTTTGATCTTCGTTTTATATTTCTCCCATGCATACATTGCTACCTTTTTTACATATTATTAAGTCACAATTTTTCAACATAATAGGCTGATTATTTGGTCAAGGAAGAGGCTCAATTTCTGCGCAAGGCAATGGGACATGAGAGTGAATCTCTTGATGAATTTGTTGAAGCACACAAAACGTGCTCAAGTGACATTATGTACTTCCCAACAAGGAATGCGTATGGTCTCTCCAGCGTTGCTGGAAACATGGAGAAACTTAGTGCTCTACAATCTGAATTTGAGAGTGTGAAGAAGAGAATGGATGATGACACTAAGAAGGCACAAAAACTTGAGCAAAAGGTTAAAGTTCTAACAAATGGATATCAGGTGAGTTTCACGTTTTGGCACTTAGTCTTTTACCTTTCACTTTTACTCTCATTACAATTCAGTCATGAACTTTTGAAAGCTGACAAAAAATAGTCGTGACTTTGTGAGGACCTAAAGTGAAATATTTTCTATCTCCATATTTCTAAATCCCATTTATTCCCAAATTATTCAGATTAATATTTAATCATTTCTTGTTATGGCTTGTTCTATTCACTTTGACGTTAAACGTCCCATTACTAAAGTCCCTACAATTTTCATTGAACAGTTCCGATCTGCAAAAATAGGGTTGCAAATAGACGCAATGTTCAAGCAAATGGACACCGCTGGGACCGAACTTGAATCTTTTAAAGTGTTGCAAAAGCAAGAGCAGATTGCAGCATCAAACAGAATCAATAACATCTGGGAAGAAGTCCAGAAGCAGAAAGAGCTTGAGCGTACCCTACAGAAACGGTATGGAGGCCTCTTAGCAGAGAAAGAAAGAATTGGGCGTCTCATGGAGGAACACAAAAGGCTAGAAGAAGCGCAGGCTGAAAAACATGCTCTTCTTGAAATGGCCAATGCACAGGCTGATGATAAAATCGTTGGTCCAGAGCCAATGGCCTTGGTTGAGGAAGAAAACTCAAATTGTGAAGAAACTCGAAGCGAGAAGAGGGGTGATGGTGACGATGATGCTCAGGAACAACTGAAAGGAAGCCCTAAAGCTGGAATGGATATGGACATGATCACATCACCAGGAGTAGATGAAAACCCACTCAGTGGCAATGATCATGGAAGAACTTCTTCATCATCTGATGATTTTCAGTCCGTTAAACCTTCTGATGTGGAGCCTTCAATGCATGTCGAGAATGTACCCCACAGCTCTGAAGATGTCGGTGTTGAAATTTCTGGCAAAATGCAGTCTCCAAGTGAAGATGTTAACCCAACTAGTGGAAATAATCACCGTGAAGCTTCTCCAGCCGATGTTTCTCAGAACATTACACCTGCTGCTGATGTGGAGTCTGTGGAGTATATAAAAAATGCACCCAGCAGCTCTATAGATGGCGTTGTCAATGATAATAAGAATCCGACCAGTGGTAGTGATCTTGGTGAAGCTTCCTCAACTGATGTTTCTTCAATCGTTGAGGCCCAGGGCTCATGAGCTTGCAGATATATATATATTTGCTGATGTACACATGCGCTTGTTGGGAAACATATGAGATGCGTTGATGGGTGTTGGTGACTTGGGGTTCCTTTATCCTAAAAGGCTAAAAGTGTACTGCAATTATATGTTTGCTCAAAGCACTGAATTCTTTAGCTGTTGTTATACATGTTGAGATTTTTGGCGGAGGCAGACTATTTTTTGGACTATATAAGCATTGGATATCATGTGACTGAACCTTGCCCTTCTTTTCCCCGACCTTTTGTAGGCACAAACATTCACTATCTACAGACTGAGACAAAGTTTCATGTCTGTCACCTTGAAACTTGATGGTATAATTGCCAGGTTGGTGTGCAATAAACGCACAAATGCGTATAATGAATACATGTGTGCTAAGAATTTGAAATGAATTGAATCATTGAACAAGCTTAATCATTCAAGTGTAACTCTAGTTTTTTATACATTAACATAGATTGATAGCTATATTTCATTTAGGAGTATGTATGGGTCTATGAGATGCATTCTAGATTTCTAAAATTGCTTTGTAACTATGGCTGGACTCGGGCCGGTTCGGGCCTGGGCCCGGCCGGGCCTCGGGCCAGAAAACTGGGGCCCGAGCCCGAACCGCCGGTGGCCGGTTCCGGTTCCGGTTCCGGGCCAAACCGGGCCGGGCCGGGCCAAACCGGTCCTTTTTTTTTGTTCTCCTATTTAACCCCCTACCCCTCCCCCCTCAATCCCAAACCACCTCAAATGGCCCAAAATACCTAATCCAACCCAAAACTTAAAAAAAAAAAAAACAAAAAAAAAATTAAAATCCGGCCCGGACAGGGCCCGAACCGGCCGGGCCGGTTTGCCTAAAGCAGGGCCCGAGCCCGGACCGCCCATCACTCGGGCCGGGCCAAACCGAACCGTTGGACCCACCGGGCCCCGGGCCGGGCCGGGCCAAACAGTAACCGGGTCGGGCCAGTTCCGGGTCAGGCCGCCCGGCTCGAGTCCACCCCTATTCGTACCATCACAATTTGAAACATGATGTTACAGCATTGTGCCCAAACATTTCAAAAATGCAAACTTCTAAATGATTTGTGGAGGTAAATATTTAAAAATATCACTAGAACATAATGAAACAAACAGAAAAATAATTATTTCATGTCTTGATTGCTTAGTAGCTAAATAATGCCTAACAATGTGAAACAACTAAATTGCAAATTATGCATGTTCACCTCAGGTTTAATGACTTAATCATAAAAATATAATAATAAAAATATAATAATAAAAATATACTGTATATTATCAAACAATTAGATTTGGGGAACCGTTAAGTGTGAGAAGTATGCACCGAAGAACACCCATTTTAAAGCACATTAATCAATTCAGTACAGGGCAAAAGAAGAGTGAGCCAGATACGCTTAAAATTTAGTACTCCAAAAGTCCAAATAGTGAATATAGTATTCCAAATGAATAAATTTATTGAGTCCACACAGACAAACAATTTAGTACATGGCAAAAGAAGAGTGAGCCAGATACGCTTAAAATTTAGTACTCCAAAAGTCCAAATAGTGAATATAGTGAATATAGTACTCCAAATGAATAAATTTATTGAGTCCACACAGACAAACAAGCTACAAATGATTCTTGAAGCCAAACAATTAAATTTATTAAATCATATCGATTGAAAATATACTCCCTCGGTCCCGTTAAGATTGTCTCAGTTCTTGTTCATTTACACAAATCACTCCTAATTTGTTACTTTATATATCAAATTTTTATCAAATTTGATTCTGGTTTTTGCAACTTTGTAAAGTTTTTAATGTAGTTTCTGAATATGTCATTTTTGTTTTCTAAAAATAATTTGAGTGCGGAGAGGGATCTGTTTGTTTCATCATCGGCCTAGCATCATGAACCGAATTGTCTCAATCTTAGTGAAGGAACGTAGTATATCTTTATATTACCGACGTCAGTATAATTGAAGTTAATCTCTTCTCAAAGGTCACTGATGGACGGTGTACCCGGGGGGTAGCTTATCCGAGGGGTTACTGCGAGAATAACCTAGAGAGAAGTCAGAGCAAACAAGTAGGAGAGAAAGTCGATTGTATTAAATGAAATCTGTGTGTTTTACAAGGAGAACAAGGGCTGCTATTTATAGCAGCAATAAATGCGATGAGAGTACACGTGTCAGTAATCTAACGGCCGAGGGGTCACCTCAATCGAGTGGCACTGACATTCGCATATGCTCCGCATTGAATGCGGTGGGTGGTTGTGACGCCGCATTAAATGCGGTGGTTGGTTGTCTCCAAAGGGAATCTTCGATGATTGAACCGTTGGCCGAAGGCTCTCTCCGCGGCCGAGGGCTTTGTGTAGCCGAAGGCACGAAAGTGCCGAAGGCTTCCCTGTCGCCGAAGGCATGAGAGTGCCGAAGGCTTCTGATTTCTGCCATTTTCTCCCAGTAGTTTAGTGCGCTTAATCAGGCTGCCCTGTGTAATTTGGAGCCCTCGACCAAGGAGACCGAAGGCACCCCTATGTGTATCGTGGGCTTCTTGACACTTGGGTCGCTGTATTTGGGCCCTGGGCGTGTATTGGGCTCATTGGGCCTATGCAGGAGAAGTAGGAGTCTGTGGGCCGGGGGTCCCTGGGCCATATACTCCATCAGTCACCATTGTTGAGTTGCGGTTGTTAACAGATCCAATTACTAGTCCATCAAACTGATTGTATTTTTTTAATATTAATGCCTAATAATCCACTTAAACTATAAGAGAATATCAAATTATCAATGCTAGTCATTTCAATGCATATTGATGGCATGAAGACATATACCCATCATTAAACAATATTGCCACCTTGACTGGAGTAAAAAGCCACCTCGATACATTCTCGTGAATTGAAAAATGACAGGAACATATATTTTGGGAATGGTTTTTGCTTGTTTTTTAGATATTACGTTTGATTATGTCAATGTGTTTATGAGACTTTCTATTAATTTCATTTAGCCACTTGTCGTTTGTCAAGCCAGTCCGTATACCATACAACCAGCCCACTATGAGCATGCTACACCCGCGCCGCCCAATACGACATCGTTGACCATTAATTAAAAAAACGCAGAAAGCAAAAAACGGCACCCTCCAAACCGGCGCGTCTTTTCTCCCAAGAGCAGTTATACGCTTCACTCCTCGCAATAGCGTCTTTTGAAATTCGGATTTAAATTTCTCGAGAAACTTTCTCACTTCACTCTTCCATCAGCTTTCATCAGATGAAGTACATTCCGCCAGACGGAAGAGTAAGGAAGAAAAAGCATTCCGCAGACGGAAAAGTAAGGAATCCTAACGAAGAAGAACGTTTTGCAGATCGAGACAATGACAAGGTATTTCATTGCGAGGTATTTCATCCGAGGTATTTCAAATGGTGAAGTATTTCATCCGAACAAATTATGTGCTTTGCTTTTTCAAGTTCAAAATTTATGTCTGAGCATGTAACAATATGATTCATGTGCCAGTCTACTATAAATTTCAACATGCATGTTAGTTACACTAAAAAAACGAAAGAGATTGAGTATTCAATAGTGTGATTTATGCCTTATTACGATGTCAATTTGAAGAAGCAAAGTGTGTATGCTCATATCTAACTTCAATTGTTGTTAAAAATATGTAACTGTAGTTTTTGGTAAGATTCCTGAGTTTCAATGCTTAAAACCTTATATAAGTACTGTAATTATGGAACAAAGTGCTCATTTTTTGTGCTAAAATGATATAAATACTGCTAGGAATTAAATAAAGTTGACATGTTAACATGCAAAAACAATTGTTGTACAAAATGCTCTGTATGGTTGATGTGATTACTAATGTAACTACTGTTATTGATTATGGAAATTGTCTATGTTAAGATGTAACTGCAATTTTTGGTAAGATTCCTGAATTTCAATGCTTAAACCCTTATTATATAAGTACTGGAATTGTGAAACAAAATTCTCAATTTCTGTGCTAAAATGATGTAAACACTGCTAGGAATTAAATAAAGTTTGCATGTTAAGATGTAAAAACAATTGTTGTACAAAATGCTCTGTATGGTTGATGTGATTACTGATGTAACTACTGTTACTGATTATGGAAATTGTGTATGATAAGTTGTAACTGCAGTTTTTGGTAAGATTCCTGAGTTTCAATGCTTAAAACCTTATATAAGTACTGCATCATATACAAATTAATTATAATTATATTATATATTACAGCAGTACTGACAGGGCTAACTATGATGATAGTATTCCACCAATAGAACAACCACCACCTATACAGATGATTATAGAAGAAAATCCAACAACAAGTGCACACAATATGCGAAAAAGGAAGACTTGTGCTATACAAGAACAAGAACAAGAAATACAAGAAGAGTCTGGAAGGGAAATGGTGGAGAACAATTCTGTTGTTGTTGATTGTTCAGTAAATTTGAGGACTGGAGTTGGACCTACTCCATTTGTAAAACTCATCAAAGGATTGAGTGAAAAGTAGAAGACAACTGTTCGGAAAATTGGCTTTGGAGCTTTGCTACACCTCAGCTTTGATAAGTTCCATGGGGATATTGTTCAATTTCTACTGCAAAACTTGAGACCAATATCTGGACAACTCAAGCTTACAAGTGGAGAGTTGTTAGATATTGAAGAAGAAGATGTTAAAGCAGTGTTTGGTTTGCCAAAAGGAGATAAAGATGTTATGGAAGCAAATGGAAAGAATGAAACCGAAGAATACACTGAGTTGTTAAAGGAATGGAGAGCAGAGTGGGGAATTGAGAAAGGAAGCTCACAGACAACATCAATGATACAAAAAATCATTGAGGATGATGATGATGATGGAGATAAGTTCATCAGAGATTTTGTTGTCTTCACAGTCTCTTGTTTGATAAGAGGCAACTAGAGTGTGAGGAACAACTTCAAGATCTTGCTTTCTTTAGTTAATGTTGGTGAAATAACAAATCTGAACTGGAGTAAATACACAAGACAGTCACTAATGGATGCTGAAGAAGAATGACAGGCTTACCCATCAAAAATGTTTTCTGGACCTTTGTTTTTTCTTATGATCTGTTACTTGGATAGGGTGCAATTCAAAGGACAGGTTTTGGAAAATGTTTTTCCAACAATAAAATTCTGGACGAAAGAGAGAATTGATAAAAGAGTGAAAGATGAGAGGAAGTTGGGATTTGGACTTGGCAAGGTGAAGCCCAGAATCATGCCTGTACAAGAAGAAATTGAAGAGAAAGCAGATGAGCTGTTGGCAAAGGAAGTAAGTTTTAATAATCATTTACATTAAGTAATTGAAGTGTTTAGATTTCTGAATTTTACATGATGTAATTTTTGCTCAAACACATGTAACGCGTGTTGTTTAGAATGTAATGTTAATTAGTATAGGATGTAAACTGTTGTTCACTAAGTCACATGATGTTAACTGTTTAGTACCACATGTAACTCTTGTTTAGAAAACGGAAAACTAATGTGTTGTCATAT